TTTTCCAAATGCGTACCGAGACGAGTCTTGGTCTTGTAAACTCAGTCTTGGTCATGATCTTGGTCCTGCGCAAGAGTCTTGCAGTTTCTTATTAGATTATTACTATAGAGATATTACTGTAATTTTTTAGATAGGAGAAACCTAACTAAGCCCGAATGAAAAATTAGAAGAGTTAAATGCAAAAGTATATTGGTTATACTAATTATCTACATATAGTAACTAAGATTATCAAGTATTAGTAACTATTTTGCCTTAATTTTTATTTTAAAAATCGATTTTTTTTACTAGTCCTGGTCTTGGTCTTGCAACAGTTAGGTCGCCTTGGTCTTGGTCTAAGACTGGTGCAAGACCAAGACCGATTTTGGGCAACACTAATAGTGTTAGAAGAGGTGTAGCGGTATCCGATTTCTCTTTATAATCCAATCAGATGCTAAGTATTTATTATGTAACATGGTTTAAATTTTTTTATTTTATTTTGTTTTGAATATGAAAAATAATTTCTTTTATAATTAGTTTTAGTTTTTCTTTACTTCTACTTTTGCTATTCGTAAGATTGTATTGTTTTGCATTGTATTTCATTTTTTCTTATCTTCGACACAATCCTCTCTATGTGTATATATATGTGTATATATATATATATATATATATATATATATATATATATATGTATTTACTTTTTTTCCCTCTTAATTTATCGCTTCATAGGTAGTTCTCAATACTTGTCTAGTTTTTCTCAATAACTTCATGTGTATTCACTTAAACTTGTTAAGGAACAGATGTAAATCATTTATTATTTTATTTTATTTATCAGTTATTATATCTAGTTATTTTTTTTTAACTACAATGGTTTTCCTATAAAATTTATTTAGCGTTCCTTTCTAATTTAATTAAGTTACTTTTATTTTATTGTCTTAGCACCAATATTGTAATATTGTAACCCTATCACCCATCTGTTTTCGTTAATGTTTCCTAAGAGCTATGTATATACTTAATTTTATTAGTTACATTTTAATTATTCTTTCATGTAATATATATAAGTTTATAATAATATAGGTTTTTTGGCCAGATATATTGTTAATTTGTATGAACAACATTGTCAATCTTAAGAGACCTAGTCCCGGAATAAAGATGATTTTCTATTCTAACCTCTAAATGGATTTACAATATATTACTCTTCAGTTATCTTTACTCTCTCCGAGGACCACTTAAACACAATTTCATATAGTGCCTTTCTTTTTCTCCCGAAGTAGTAACTTTAAAATACTACATCAGCCCCTCTCCCCCAAACAAAAAAATTAAACCCTGAATCCGCTGTTGCCCATTTCAACACATAATTTACGAGCTAACCTTTTACCGAGGCAGGATGTGCCCCATGAGGGTCTTCTTGTTATATTATCGATTATAGCTAATAAAAAAGGAAATAAATTTTTTAAACATTCTTCTGAGAGTAATGAGGACAGTCTGACCATGATATTGTAATTATAATTGTTAATCCTTCTCAGCATTGGTATTTTAAGGTTGAATCCTTGTAGTTTTTGTAATCAATGACGCTTTTATTATTCTGTCTCATTGTTTGTTTTTCTTAGTCTTAATCCTTAAATTGAAAATATCGTTGGAATTTATAAAAGTCTCAAACCATAAAAAAGAATCTTCAGAAGAAAATTTTAATGCAATGCTAAAAGTGAATAAAGGACAGAATTTCCAAGTTTCCAAGTAGTGGATCCTTTCAATGCCACAGAACCAAAAATAAATGCAATCAAGTTTTCTAAATTTAGAATTGTATACACAACAGTGTTCTAAGTTGAACTAGATTATTGAGTCTATGGTTGAGCTATTAACGGAGTCATCTATGCCTTTAGGAGAAAAAACAATACAAACATCTTGAACGTAATTTTCACCGTATTGGTTGGTTTGATAAAACTATTACAAACATTCTTTTACTATTTCAAGTATAAGAATTCATTAAAATTTTTAAATTTTATAAACGCTCAACAGTTTTATGTAATTATTTTTTCTTATTTGAAACTATCTTTGTTTTGTGCCTGATTAAATAGTAAACATGCATGTATAAATTTTAAGTTATACTAAATTGTATTGTTGTTTGATCTTATATTAAATTTATTTTATATTTTAGTTTTTTTTTTATTAACTGGGTTCGTATCCTCTCTCCACCTATCTGCGGACCAACCCCCATTTTACAGAGTATATATAAACTGTATATTCATATTAAATGAAGATTGTATGATCTATTGACGTAAAATGCTAGATGAACATTGTATGATCCATAAATGTAAAATACTAGATAGAACTTTGTATGATCCATAAATGTAAAATACTAGATAGAACTTTGTATGATCCATAAATGTAAAATACTAGATAGAACTTTGAATGATCCATTAATGTAAAATACTAAATTGAATGAGGATGTAATAAGTAAGCGTCCTTCTCACATGACTTCCATGTGAAGGAAATAATAATAAAAATAAATAAACATACATACTATATATATTTTTTACAGCCCTCGCATTGTTTGCAACTACGGCTAATTTTGAATTTTAATAAAACTTGGTTTGAATGACATGCATGAACCTTCAAGTTATGGCCAACAGAATCATTATTTATTCCACATAAAATAATTTTTAAATATGTTTATTGATGATTAATTCATAATTAGTCTTATGATTAAGCGTGAAGTATTCAAAAGGACACTCATATAAATATGGTCAAAATACCCACGATTTATTCATATTACATATCTACGAAAATGGTCTTACATCTTATTTAGACTTAAATGACGAAGTACATTTTAAGACCAAACCCTTCTTATTGCAGCTAAGTTCCTACCATAACCCCAAATGTGTTATTCTAGGCAATCTGGATTTCGGTCTACCTTTTCTAGCCTATATGGTTGTTTCGTAAGTTATTGGATCATTCATGTGATTGATTGCTTTCTTGCGTTTTCTATGTTTTTAATTTCACAGTTGTCATATAAAAAAAATACAATTATAAATAATGAATTCAGAAAAGAAGAAAATGGAGCCCCTCAAATGTCACACAGTGTGCCACCGGAACATGATACGCTACTCACCTACTTTCTCTACCCATTTTCGATTCCTATTTTGTAACTTTATTTCTTGTGACGAAATGGACTAGAACTTATTTTTCAAGTTGAGCGAACCTTGTCACCACATTTGTTTCTCAGACATGCTCATTTACTTTTGTTAAATGGATCAGAAAAAGCGCAGAAAATATTACGTCAGTTTTTCTTTATAACTCTTAACGGTAAAACAGGTTTCCTTTACAAGGTCGATATATATATATCTTTTTTTACCATAGCGTTTCTTTTAGATTATTTTACTTGAAGTTGAAAATGTTATTATTTCTTATTTTACCGGATCAATATAAACTATTATAATGCAGTTTATTTCTTAAATTAATTAATTATATGAATAAATTTAATAATCCTTGAACTTAATTATTATCCAATTGATTCCCCAGCCAAAAAAAAAAAAAAAAAAAAAAAAAAAAAAAAAAAAAAAAAAAAAAAAAAAAATCAATGTCAGATTTTACTTTTCTTACGTTTCATTTCAATAGAAGATTGAAAAAACAAAAATTAATACTTTTTAAATACCTCTATCCAAACATTAATAAGGAGAGAATGGTTTGAAATTAGGTTCTAATTTTTCCTCTAATACATTATCCCCATAGTGACATGATCAGGTGTGTCTAGGAGGAGAGGGGAGGGGGAGATTTTTCATGGCGAGGAGAGCATATTTTGATGGGCTTTTGAATTTTTGAGGGGAGGGGGGCAAATTTCGACGGAGTTTAAACTAAGGGACAAGGAGAAAAATATGGAACATACAGCAACAAGTGTAGTTGTATACGATCTACGATTTTTCTAATTCTAACTTAACTTGTTTTATTTTTGAGAAAAGTGAGCAATAAAATATCTTAGGAGGGAAAGGAGGGGTAGGTTCTTGCACCATCGACCTTGGGGGGGGGATGGGCACCAATGGTCATGATTATAATTTTCTGGCGTGATGTCGGAATTTTGTAAAATTGACTACTATTTTTTATTTAACCGAATTCTTTATCAATGTTACAATTATTTTTGGTTAAATCTCAATAACGTGACACATTTGAAAAAACCTCATAGTACTTTGTTAACGATTTTTATTAACTTGAATTTTTTGATTCACATTTTTCAAAATAATAATGACAACTCCTTTCATTTATATATTCAGAGATTCCAAATAATAGTATATTTTATTTTCTGCGTCTAGCTTCTCAACCACCAAAACCTGCAACGATTAAGAAACCATATCAAATTATTATTTATTATTTTTTTTTATTATAACGTCGCTTCGACTTCTGAGGCCATTAGCGACGACTGTTCGTCAGTATGATGAATCAATTTTATTGCTTTTAAGTATTTCAGGTTTTTTTCAGTGCCAATTCTTTCTTTAAACCGTTCTGTGTTTTCAATTTTGAATTTAATTTGTTCTTTTCGATATTTTTTGCATCGGAAAATGTGTTGCCGTGTGAGATGTTCATTGTCACATGAATGAATTATAGTAAACAATCTAGTGTTTGTCTAATAAATATATGTTTATATCTACATGCGGTGGCGTTTAATATGTACTTTACCACACCTGCAGGTTCCACCGGCAAGTTTTTGTGTTCTTTCCATTTATTTAATCCATCGATTGTAGAATTGATTTGGATTATTTAATAAAGTTTAATGAAGGGAAAACCGCCTGCATTTTGGGATGATCGAACTTTGTTATTGAAATTTATTGTTATTTATGTTGTGTTGCCATCTAGAATTCATAGACACAATTTCCCACATTGTCAACCACCTGCTGTTCCGTTATAAAAGTCTTGTAATTTTCTACACTCCTGTAATAATTTATTAAATTGAAGTTATAGATGATCCAATCACATCTTGAATAACCTAGCGGTCCCAATGAGCTTTCTGGATTTCGATAAAGCACATTAGATTAAAGGGCCCTTGCAATTTGTTTAAGATTTAGTTTGATCTTATAAAAAAAGGCATTGGAAGCTGTAGAAGTCAAGGGCTTTACATTTACCGACAACATAGACTGCTGTTCAATTTCTATACCAGGTACGACGTACTGGTAACAAAACAAGATTTATCTTCTTGATTTATATTAATGAATATGGAGACCTTGGTAGGTGAGACTAATTATCACCAACACGTTCTTTGAATATTTCGTTAAAGGTTTTGACAATAGTTTTCTTTATTTATACTATGAGCGAAGCCTCTCCATTTTGATTGAGGGTGATGTGACAAAAAAAAAAAAAAAAATGGGCAGAGTTTATATTATATGTAAAAGTTATATAAAGTGATATTCGTATGAGGCCTACTAAATTATTGTGAATCGAACAATGCAACACCGAATCTTTCAAAATAAATTTATATATGTATTCAAATAGTTATAGTTTTTTTTTTTTTTGCATATCTAGGCATAGATATATTTGATAATGATTGAATGAAACAATTGAATACATTACTATTTATATATATTGAATCTATACAAATTTGCATACATTGGAAGGGGGGAAAATTATAATAATAGGAATATTTAATCCGTTATAAAATACTTACGGAACTACTTCTAGGACTTTGCTTTACCAGCTAGTCGACTTTTCTTATTTGTTTAATCGATTTTAGTTTATATATTTTATTCGTTAATGTAGATTATTTGTTATTAGTTTTATTTATTTTTTTACTTTTATTTATTTTTTTTTATTTGTTTTCCACCCTCCCATGCCACCAGGGCAACACGGGTGTATGCAGTAGTGTGATGTTAAGCATTAATGCATAATAACACACTACTGCCATAATATCAGTTTACAAAATTCTAAGCTGTGCACACAGCTAGCTCTTCTACTTTTTCCTGGCTCCTTTAGGCCTGGCTTCCCGAATCCGGAGGTCTTCCTGGGACTGGTCTTCTCCTTCTGCGTGCACCTAGGTTGAAGTGAGCTGGGCCCACCGCCGTCTTCCAGCCATTTATAAACTCTTTGAACCGCGGGAAGTTTTCTTCACTCACTAACTGAGGAAACTCCTCCTCAGTGAGGACGTAAATCCCCGTGGTTCTCATTAACCTCGCTCTTAATTCGTCGAAAGCAGTGCAGGCCGTGACCACATGCTCAACAGTCTCCGGAACACCACAATCGGGGCAGTGGGGATCTATATCCTGTCCGTAGCCATGGAGTTTAGCTCTGAAACCCCCATGTCCCGTGAGAAATTGTGAAACCCAATAGTCCGGGAGGACCCATTTCGCCTGTAACCGAGATTCAACGGTGGGAAAGTATTTTCTTAAGGTACTGCCTTTCGGAGTCGTCACCCACCGTCTGCTCCAATCTTCAATTGTTTCCTCCCGGATAATCTTTTTCCATTTATTTGGGTTTTCAATAATCCTCATCCGTAGGTTCTCCGATAGACTAGTTGAGCCCTCCTTCTTGTAGTCATACCTGGTCACTTCTTCTCGCAGGAGGAGGTCGAGAGGCACCACCCCCGCTAAGACCTGCACTGCTTCATGCGACGTAGACCTATATGCTCTGGTGACCCGAAGCAGAGCAGTTCTCTGAGTCGATGCTAGCCTATTTCTTTGTCTGAGTGTGAGGTTTCGGAACCAGAAGGGAGACGCATACCTAAGGATACCCTCCACAACACCCTTATAAATAGTGATAGTGGCTGGATACCTAAGGCCCCAAAATGCGCCCCCCACACGACTTAGACCGTTCATTGCTAGGGCCACCCTACCTGCCAGATATTCCAAATGAGGCGTCATATTGAGGCCTACACCTAACCTAACCCCTAGGTAGGTTACCACCTCACTTGGACGTATCCTCTGACCTTCTATGTACATCGTTATAGGGTGTGCCCTATCAGTCTTTCCCTTAAGGAGGATGGCTTGAGTCTTAGCAGCAGCCATCCTCATCTTCTTCCCCTCACACCATCTAGCGACTAGGCTGGCGCATCGCTCTGCTTCTCTCTTGACTCCAGCTCTGCTGTTGGAGGCCACCACAGCAGCTAGGTCGTCAACGTAAGCAGTGGCAGGAAACCGCTCCTCCTCTAACACTCCCAGTAACTCATCAAAGACGAGCTTCCATAGAGCAGGACCAAGCACCGATCCCTGAGGGCAACCTCTCTCTATGGAAGCTTCTACCTCGTAGTAATTGCCTCTAATCTTGACACTTCTATCCTGGAGATAACTTCTTACTAATGTGTATAAGTTACTAGGAGCATCATACCTCTGCAGCTGCTGGAGCACGCTAGGCCACCATACGCTGTCAAAGGCGGAGGATATATCGAAAAGAAGCAACATGACATACCGCTCCGCCCTCTCCTCAACATCTCTGCGCACTCTCAGCAGGGCATCAGCGGTTCCTCTGCCTCTGGTTGATCCATATTGCCGTGGATGACTTGCTCTAGCGAAAACAGGCCGTAAACTAGTCATCATGAGGTTCTCCAGGACCTTGCTAATCACAGGGAGGAGACATATAGGTCTATATGAATTAGGGAGTTGTTTGTCCCTATCTCCTCCCTTGTAGAGTAGTCTCAAATCAGCGATCTTCCATCTTCTTGGAAAGTATCCCATATCCAGACATTCATTGAAAATACTCAACAGCCGGTCTTCAATATACGTGATACTGTTCCTCAAGATCGCTGCATCTATTGCATCAAGTCCTGGAGCACGATTAGTCTTCTGCTTATCCACGGCAATACGAAGATCGTGAATGTCCCATGGTGGGCACAAATCTGAACCAGGTGGATATACCGTGGTGCGTCTCACAAAATCATCATTTTCGCTGTCCTGGGTTGGGTCATCTCTGGGATATATTGCTTCAATGAAAACATTGGCAGTTTCTTCAAGGGTGGTTGCCTCAGTATTATGATACCGCAAGGCTGCAATAGTCTGCATCGGGGACAACTTACCCAATGCTACCCTATACGGAATACCCCAGGGATTCTTCAAAGACTCTTCAATGATGAAATCATCCCAAGACTTCCGCTTTTGTGAGCGAACCTCGTTTCGGTATATCCTGGCTTTTGACTTGTACTCATTGCGAAGTACAGTGCGCCTCTCTTCGCATCTGCACCTCTGATATGACCGCCGGGCCTTGTAGAGGTCTCGTTTTAGAACAGTTAAGGCTGGCGTCCACCATGGGACAGGTCGAACCCTCGCCTTCCGGTGCTTGAGGGAGTGTTCGGCAGCATCACGAATGTTGTTGGTAATCCTGGACACCTTGTAGTCCAGATTGTCAACTACATCCATCTCTGCCGCTTCCCACTCCTCGTCTGCAATCACTCCTTCCAGGTAGGACCTGAAGACACTCCAGTCATTTATTTTAGTGACGAAACCCTTATCAGTACCGTGGGAACATCCTGGCTCATTTACCAGGCCAATTGCTATCGCAACGTGATCGGAACTCGTATCAGATCTGAGAGTCCAATCAGCAATATACCTCGTAAGCGCAGGCGTGGCGATCGTGACGTCAATCCAACTCTGCCCCATGCCTCCAGAGAAGGTAGGGGTGGCAGAGGGTTCGTTCATCACGACAAGGTGATTTCTGCCTATGAAATTTCCCATTTTAGCGCCTCGCCTGTCAGTAATATTGGACCCCCAGACCGTGTTCCAGGAGTTGGTATCTGAGCACATGATCACATTCCTCATCTCTCTAATGATCGCCTCCATAGCGGATATGCTTTCTTCTACATCACTATTCACAGGTAGGTATGCCGATACCAATGTGAAAGAAATCTTGCCCCACTTAACATAGCAAGATGCATAATCCGCCATGGTGTGTTGTCTCAGATCCATCACGTCAAGGTTAGGATTATTAATCACTATTGCAGCCCTGGGCCTCCTCTCTCCACTGCTCAGGGCTATAACTCTTGACGTGAGGCCAAACCCCGTAACCCTGTTCCCACGGCAGCTAGGTTCCTGGACCGCCATGATATCGTAGCGTTGTGCCATGGCGCGAAGCTCGTCAGCCACAATATGCCGGCGGCCCATATTCAACTGCAGGATGTTGAGTCTAATCATAGTGAGTTCTCCTCACTAATTCTTGAGATCTCTTGATGTGCACTGGGCATTCTCTACTTCCTGCCTGGTGTTTAGCCTTACTTTTTTGAACACCTTCCCTCACGCAGTTAACGCATGTAGGTGCGGTCTTATTTCCTTTTGCGGGACAGTTTTTAGCAATATGCCCACTCGCCGCACACCACTTGCATACTATGCCATTTGCCTCACAAGTAGCTTTTGTATGTCCATATCCCTGACACCTTAGACAGGGAGGAGCATCGGGGTAATCTAAGATTGTCAGTGACCACCAACCTCCTGTAATTATTTCCTCCTTGAGTAGATTATATCTTACCATTGGATGTACTTCTAACACCCAATTATTGGTAATTTTATTTCTAGCCATTGATGAGAACAATGGCTTTATATTACCTAATTGGTTCTCAGAAATAACGGCCGATTTTGCAGCCAACCTTTCCCATAGCACCCTTTCTAGATTTTCCGCACTCCATGAAAGGGGAACTCCTTTTACCTCCACTTTTGGTTTTCTTTTTAAGGCTAGTTTTGCCTCCATCCCAACTTCTTTTAATTTTTGCCATTCAATTATTTTTTTCGCATGGGCACCCTCATCTACACAAACTAAAACTGAGCCAGCTTTGGTCGCCCGTACAACTCTCGCCTTGACTCCTAGTTCAGTTGGAGAAGGCAGATTGTTGATGATGTCAGCTGCACTTTTACCTTGAGAAGCGATGGTAACATAAGTTGGTCTTGTAGTATCCATCGGTTTTAATGGAAGCCCTTTAACAATATCGGCCATCGTAGTCTGATGTGTAGACCTTTTCTTGGTCAAACTTTCCTCTGCTATTGGTTTAGAGGCCTCGATCTCTTTGGCCACTTGTGGAAGAGCCTTTTTCCTTCTTTGCTTTTTCTTTACTTCCTGGAAACTTTCATTCTCCGTGGTCTCAATAATAGCGTGGGCATCGGCTAATAGCGGTTGTTCTTTAACGCATGGAAACTCCCGAGATGTCTGAGGTTCTGACAGTGGTCTTTGTATGGTTTTACTTTCCGACTTGAGTCCCTCGATAACCATAGGTACTGCTTTTTCCACTAATGCATTTACTATGATATCATACATTTCAGAGGAAGCTAATGTGTCCTTTACCACACGTTGTACTAAAAACGTTTTTTCATAGTTCTTATCATATATTGTCTCCATTATATCTATTAACTGCTGAATTTTCCCATTAACGTGCTTTTGTACCTTCGCACTCACGTTCCTGTCTGTTGCGTTCATGTAGACCCTGATGTTTTCTTTGATTCTACGTGCATCTTGCAGAAGACTATCGTCTACACGTTCTTTATCTGTTTCTTCTCGGGCGTCAGGAGATCCTTTCCTTTGCCTCTTTGCTGAAGGCCTTGGGCACTTTATAGCCTGTTCTTCCACCATTTCCTGCTCCATTGCTGATGCAATTTCATCAGCCATCTTACGCAATCCAAAATTAACAACTTTATACGTTGAAATAATGGGTGAACAACAGTAGAAGGAAATATTCAACACTCAAAATCTAACCTACGTTCGGGAGACTTATAAATTTCCTATGTTCAAAAGTAAGACGTTAATATGAACTTACCTTAGTGCTTCACCAACGTAATAGTCTCTAAACGTCCTTTTGGTTAGATTAAACCTTCGTGAAAACCACAAAGTTAACCTTAACCTCCACTGTTCACTCAAAAAGTTTATAAAATTAACTAAATAAACATAAACTAAAACTAAATCATGTTCAAAAAACTATAAAACACTAAAATAACACAAACAGTAGGAAACGATACAACAAAACTAACAAAACAAACTTGAAAAATACAAAACACTGAGAAGCACAATAACACTTTATCATAGGTAGATAACCATCTCCGAATTTTTCATTTATTTTTTTACTTGAAATTATTGGGGAGAGGGCAAAACGATATTCTCGCTCCCCACTATTTTTATTTTAGGCGATCGCCCCTCTCGTCTCCTTCCTCCCCGTTTGAATGATCAGGTCATTGGTTTCGATGACGCTTGATTCGGCAATTTCACAGCCTTATATTTCATATGTTTAATTTGTTAAATCATGAAAATAGTTTATATAACTTGGATTTGTGCTATCTTGAATCGCCGTATTGAACTTCCATATAAAATCAAAATACAGCAGCAAATGCGATTGCCTCCAAAGAGGGAAAGTTATTTTCTACAACCCTTAGTTGACGTCTCATCCCGATTTGTAAAGAAGTCGTCACTCATCTAACGAACGGGGTATCAGATACCCCACTTTCAACACACATACTCCCCCTCCATTCACATTCCCTCTGTTCCGACAATGCTGTCAGTTTTCCCACGTTTGTGGGTAAAAGTCTGGAAAAAAAAAGTGTCCCGATTTCATTTGAATGGGCTCATTTAAGGTGCATGCCCTATTATAATTACAGCATATGCAAATACCATGGTTTAAACGAACCTAAAAGCGAAATCTTTGCTTTTCTCAATCACCTGAGTGCTCAATATTTCGCCAGTGTCAAATGCCTTTTTTCACAACGTAGATTGCGATATCTTGATACATAATTGAGATGGTTATTAAACCAGGCTGTTTAATATTTATTTTGCTTCTTTTGTGTAATTTTGGATTATAAATGAAACTGTGTTTGGTTACAAATAAGTGTTGTGTTTTAATATTTAAATGCTTAACAGAGAGTATGTCTTCCGACAAAATTGTTATGCGAAAATATCTAAATACATGTTACAACGTATTTCTTCTAAAATTAATATTGCTTCCTCACTACCGAAGGTAGGGAAGCATTGTGTTCGTGCGAGAGATTAAAAAAATTTTTTTGCTCAGAATCGAAAATTTTCACTCGCGTTTTACGTTTCAGACATCAAGGATCAAATTTGGTTCGGTGTCTGTCTGTCTGTAGTCAAATCGATGTGACGGGCAAATCACCTAGTACTGTTTATCCAATCTTCATGAAATTTTCAGGAATTATGCTGATTGGTGCCTAGATGGTCCCATATCAATTTTATCAAATTCCATCCAGCACTTCCGCTTAAGCACGCGCAAACGTATATTTTTAGATATGCCAATATTTCAGAAAGGGCTAGTTCGATTTGGCTCAAAGTTAGATAAAAGGTAGACTTTGGTGGAAAAATAATGTAGTGTCAATTTCATTGAATTGTGTCCAACACTTTCTCTTATATGTGCACTACTAATCCGCCGTCCGCCGTCCGCCCATTTTTTCTGAAACTACTAGACCGATTTTTTTCGAATTTGGATATAAAATCAGAGGTCACCCGAAGATCATCCTCCTTCAACGACATTACTATTCCCCTTCTAGTTTCAAAATGGCGGCCGAAAAACCTGCGTTGCTATAGACTGTAGCGCCTAAACGAATGCACCGATTTTGATGAAACTTCGCTAAAGTCATTTTCTCTACGCCTTCTAAGTTTATCTATACTACATACTTCAACGAAAAGAAGCTCAAAAAAAGTTACGAGGGATGGTAAAATCAAATTCCCAATAACTCAAGAAGTATACACATTTATGTCAATATTATATATGGTTTTTTAGAAGTTTACGGAATTTCCTAAAAAAAAAAAAAAAAATTCTTCAAAACCGGACAATTAGGAGCAAAGATATGGTCTCTAGTTTTTTTTAGATATGCTATTGCAAAAGGTTTATCTTTTTTTTTATTTCTGAATGTGTTACTGAAGTAATGCTATTTTTTTTAGCATATTACTGATTAAAAAAAAATTTTAGACTAATAATTAGAATCACCTTTTATTTATTTTTCTTTATAACTAGGAATTTAATGTTACTTTATATGTATAATTGTTTGGAAATAATATATCAAAGAGAAATAATTTGCAGTGTTTTTTTTCAAATTAATTATCGTTATATATATATATATATATATAAATCTTTCGTGCTGAAGCCCCTCCTCCAAAATTAAATCTTGATTCGGTAATGTATATACTATTATTAGAGCATAAGTTCGTACGTAATAATTTTCAACTTTAATGTGTATCAATTCTATGTGTATTAAAGGTGATATTTTGTAGTCTGCAACTGATATAAGTAGTCTGCTACTATGGAAAATAGCAGATGAAAATAAAATATGAAATTATTCTAATAAAGCATAAAGAAATATTGAGTTTTTATGCTCTCTTGTAAAACAATAAATAAATTTATACATAAGACCTTTTGAACTAACAGTATTGAAATTCATGTTCAGTATGCATGTTTTTTTATTTATTTATTAAGCATAATCAAGTATGGAATATTCAAATACGACCCTCTGTTGTTGAATGTTGAAGGGTAACTGTAATCGGCTATTCCAATTCTGCTTCTCTCAGAGATTTTATTCTCATACGAAAAATTGTATACCTTGTAATATACAACGGAAACGGTGAGGAAGCTATACTGGCCTTACTTGGCAGACGTTTTTTTAATAGATTTAAGCAAACACCATATTAGATTATATACCGCCGGATTAGAGGTAACTGTGATCAAGAGACATTTTTGTAAAGATGTTTGCTATGGGTCTGCTCCTGAACAAAATCTACGCGTCTGGATATTATGAAACTACCTGGAATTATTGTATTGATTCAATTTTGTCAATACTGTAAGGTAGATTTGGTTCTTGTCATAGATAGAGATCAAACTATGTTTACGAATATGTCACTTGATCGGTTTCACTTAGACAATATTCAACCGTTAAAACTATCGTAATGCTATGTTTTATTTTCCTATTGCGATACAATCATTATCGTCAATTTAGCAATTGCATGTGTGATGAGGATGCGGCCCATTGATACAATTTATTTCTCTCCCTGTCCCCCCTCCTAACAAGGAAGAGCGCTGTTCTATTCCCCCCTTTATAGTTTAGAGAGTTCATTTCAGAATATCAATTTGGTCCGACCAGATGGCAACATCCATCGGTCGGTGCCGATATTAATAAATAAAATTTACGAAATCCTTTTTTTTTAAATATTCAGGTATTATATATATATATATATATATAATAAGCTAAGATCAGAACAATAAGAAAACAATTGTATAAGAATAAATTACCAAAATAGTAGATTATGTAAAAACTCAACAATATTAGATCAGGATATAATCATGGTTTTATATACATAAGAAAAATGTAATTAATTAATAATATTAGAATAGGAAGATATGATTAACATAGCGATATAAGAATAAAGTCTAACTAATTATTAATTTATGAGGTATAAATAACTATTATACCTCAAAAGAAAAAAAAAAAAAAAACCTGTACCATTAACAACCCATGAAGGGTTATGGGTTCAGTACAATATGAGCAAGTACTGTTACAAGGTCAACGATTGTGCACGGAGATGACGGGCCGATATCACGCTTAGCCGCCAGGTTTCCCTTCTTAATTAATTTTTAATTATGAGTAACCACTTCATAGAGGCTGGATTTGAATATAATATGGGGAGGAAGGGAGTTGGAATGTAATAATAATATGATTGGACTGTAATGATGTAAAAGAATAAACTAAAGTATTAAAACTAATTAACGAATATATGGGATTTTCCTGGGCCAGAGAAGATGGCGGAGGATTAACGATAAAGTTAAAAGCACCTCTGGCACCCGGATGCGAACTCCTAATCATTTTATCATGTTATCTTCTGATATCAATTTAGCTTGCAACGCATGTTATGTACACGTGTTAGCCCTATTAGCAACCCTCCCCCATTGAAACTATATTTGGCATATTTGTTTTAATATAAAAAAGGCCTTCTGTATCAACCGAAGTGCCCAAGGAACCATAGAGCTAGTCTCCTCCATTTACCTTTTCAATAGATTTTTAGTTAGTCGAAAACTATCATAAATAGTAATATTTTCATTTTTATAACAAAAACAATTGATAAGTATTCCATGTCAACCTTAGCATCTAAGAGACATTCGCTAAGAATTACGGTTTATCTCGGAAACGGTACATTTCAGGGCTTTAAAACTCAGTTATGAAGAACTATGATTAAACTGAGCCATGGTATTCTCCCTGAAATATCTAAAAAGAACACTATCCTTCCTCGATATGAATGTGGACTTTTAAGAACCATCTGAGTTTTGAACTTCCTTGTTTTTTCAATGACTTTTATTGCAATTGTAGTAAGGTTTTTAGTTTTAAAGTTGCATTCATCAATTCTCCATGAAATTCCTTTTCTTTGGATACCTCATTTATCAAAGCCCATCCCCTAAGATCCCCATACTTTAATTTGAGAAGCGTTAACTGGATAATTCTATATTTATTTATTACTAATATTTTAGAGACTTTGTGTTTGGAATCTTCCTATGGCTAGTAATGTATTCATCGAATAAATCAACACTGCCCAACACGTCTTTGTAGTTTGAGCTGTATCTATGTATATAAGGGTTCTATTTTTGCTACCGTTTCACCAATAAAGACTGAGCAAGCCGCTGG